GGCCAGCTTCGAGCCAACTTCGGCCATCTTGGTGGGTTCCTGGCACGTCTGAAGCCGTCGGAAGCCGTTTGGGGGGCCTCTATGGGCCGACTTGGGGCCCGCTTGGAATGCTCCAGGGCCGTCTTGGAGGCCATCTTGGGCGTCTGGGAGGCCATCTTGGGCGTGTTGGAGGCCTCTTGGGCCCTCTTGGGGCCCTCGAGGGGCCATCTTGGAGGCCACTTGGGCCATCATGGGGCTCTCTTGGGGGCCTCTTGGGCGATCTTGGGGGCTTCTTGGGCCGTCTTGAGCCGTCGGAGAGCCGAAAAGGCGCAAATGCCAAAATCCTTCAAAAACCAATGGAAAATCAATGATTTTGGCCTCTTCGGACTCTCCTGGAGGACCTCTTGGAGGCCTCTTGGGCCGTCTGGGAGGCCTCTGGGGGGCCTCTTGGGCCGTCTTGGGCCGTCTTGGACTCTCTTGGGCCGTTTTGGAGGCCGTCTTGGACCATCTCGGGCGGACTTGGAGGCCATCTTGGGCCATCTTCGCGATTTTTTGAGGATGTCCCGAGCGAAACGGCCGTTTTTGGGCATTGACAGACGGATTTTCGGAAATTTGCGGGTGGCCGGCGGGACGGGCCGAAGCCCACTGGGGAGTTCTTTTAGAAAAAGAACCAAAACCAAAACCTGCTCGTCCAGCACGCCGTGCACCCCTGCAAGCAGGGGGCGGCGGATCGAAGACGCCTACGGCGAATCACCGCCGCCCCCTGCCTTTTTGGAAGCGCCTATGTGGCCGAACGTTGAGGCCAGACCTGCCAAGCTATCGGACCACGTGTTCCCCGAATCGGTTTGGAAAGCCTTCGGGGAACACGTGGGCATCTTGAAGGTCATCTTGGCCGTCTTGGAGGCCTCTTGGGCAAGCTTTGGGCGATCTTTGGGGCTTTTTGGGCCGTCTCGGGCCAGCTTCGAGCCAACTTCGGCCATCTTGGTGGGTTCCTGGCACGTCTGAAGCCGTCGGAAGCCGTTTGGGGGGCCTCTATGGGCCGACTTGGGGCCCGCTTGGAATGCTCCAGGGCCGTCTTGGAGGCCATCTTGGGCGTCTGGGAGGCCATCTTGGGCGTGTTGGAGGCCTCTTGGGCCCTCTTGGGGCCCTCTAGGGGCCATCTTGGAGGCCACTTGGGCCATCATGGGGCTCTCTTGGGGGCCTCTTGGGCGATCTTGGGGGCTTCTTGGGCCGTCTTGAGCCGTCGGAGAGCCGAAAAGGCGCAAATGCCAAAATCCTTCAAAAACCAATGGAAAATCAATGATTTTGGCCTCTTCGGACTCTCCTGGAGGACCTCTTGGAGGCCTCTTGGGCCGTCTGGGAGGCCTCTGGGGGGCCTCTTGGGCCGTCTTGGGCCGTCTTGGACTCTCTTGGGCCGTTTTGGAGGCCGTCTTGGACCGTCTTGGAGGCATCATAAGGCCATCTTAGCCGTCTTAGAGACCATCCTGGCCGTCTTAGAGGCATCTTGGAGGCCATCTTGGAACCGTCTGGGGCAGGAAATTGGGGAATTGAGCTCCTGGGCATCCTTTCTGGGTGGCCGGCGGGACGGGCCGAAGCCCACTGGGGAGTTCTTTTAGAAAAAGAACCAAAACCAAAACCTGAAACGTCCAGCACGCCGTGCACCCCTGCAAGCAGGGGGCGGCGGATCTAGTGGCCTTCGGCCCATCCCGCCACCGTGTGGGGGTTGTGGGTCAGTGGCCTCTTGGATGCTTGTTGGGGTCTCTCTAGAAGGCTCTGGGGAGTCCCTTGAGGCAGTTTTGAAGCCTCCTCTCATGGGGACCGCTTAAGGGGGCCTTTTGGGGCTTCTTCTGGGCCTCTTGGGGGCCCCTCGGGGCCTCTTGAGGACTTCTTGGGGGCTTGCTGGCGATCTCGGGGGGCCCCTTGGGGCGGAGTGCTCGAAATCTCAGCTCGAGTTCCCCATATTGTGCCCAGCTCTGGGCCTCCTTGGGGCCCTCTGGGGCCGTCTTGGGGCCCTCTTGAGCCGTCTTGGTGCCCTCTTGGGGGCCTCTTGGGCCGTTTTGCGGCGATCTTGGGGGCTTCCTGGGTCGTCTTGGACGCTGTGAAAGCCCAAGAGGGGCAGGCGAACGTGTTGAACATATGCGTGTTCTCCTTTGGGAACGGAGCGATTTTTGATTGTTCGGGCGCTCTCGGTGGGGTGCTCTCGGGGTCCTCTTGAGGCGTCTTGTGCGCCGCTTGGGCCGTCTTGGAGCCACAGTGGGCAGTCTTGAAGCTGTCTTGCACCGCTCGCGACGCTCTCGAAGGTTCGGGAGGTCGTCTTAGGCCGGCTGGGGAGCTCCCGTTGGCCCCCAGGAGCCCCCAGGAGCTCTCAAGAGCTCCGTGGAAATCCGGGGGGGCGGCTGGGAAATTTGCCCTCTCATGGCTGCAGGGCTGCATGACCCTTCGGGTACTCCACTACGTGCTGAAAGCACGATGGCGAATTACGATCATCGCACTGAATGTGCTACTGTTGATGATGATGGTGTCGATGGCGATCATGATGGTGATGCTGCTGCTGATGATGATGAGGAGGAGGAGGACGGTGGTGATGATGACAGTGATGCTGATGCTGATACTGATGCTGATGCTGATGATGATGATGATGATGATGATGATGCAGATGGTGACGACGATGATGATGCTGATGCCTTCGATGATGATGATGATGATGATGTTGATGATGGTGACGACGATGCTGATGCTGCTGGTGCTGCTGCTGCTGGTGATGATGGTAATGCTGATGCTGCTACGGATGCTGCCTCTGCTGCTGCTGGTGATGGTGATGAGGATGATGATGTTGATGATGGTTCTGATGATGCTGCTGCTGCTGATGATGCTGATTATGCTGATGCTGGTGATGAAGATGACGATGACGCTGATAATGATGACGATGCTCATGCTGATGAATCTGATGATGATATTGATGACGATGACGATGACGATGCTGCCATTACTGATGATAATGACGACGATGATGATAATGATGCTGCTGATGATGATGGCGACGGTAATGATGACAATGATGATGATGATGATGGTGATGATGATGATGATGATGCTGCTGCTGATGACGACGTTAATGATGATGACTCTGATGCTGATGATGACACTGATGATGATGCTGATGTTGATGATGGTGATTGTGATGGTGCTGTTGATAGTAATGATGATGATGCTGATGCTTGTGATGATGATGGTGATGATGGTGATGACGGCCATGCTGTGGATGGCTGCTTGAGTGTGATGATGATGGTAAATATGATGCTGACGTCGACGACGATGGTGATCACGACGATGATGATGCTGCTGATGCTGATGCTGATGACACTGATGGTGCTGATGATGCTGATACTGATGATGATGCTGGTGATGATGATGATGATGATGCTGATGATGATGATGATGCTGATGATGATGATGATGCTGCTGTTGATGCTATTGATGATGCTGAGCATGACGTGATGTGATGCTGCTGCTGATGATGCTGATGATGCTACGCTTTGCTGCAGTGGAGGACGACGGGTAGCATGATTATGCCACTGCTGATGTTAGTGATAACGGTGGGTGTATGATAGTGAGCATGATGCTGGTGATGATGGTGATGAGGATGCTGTTGATGATGTTGGTGATGATGACGACGATGATGATGTGGATGGTGATGGTGATGACGATGACGATAACGATGACGATGAAAACGATGACGATGACGATGATGATGATGATGATGATGAGCATGCTGATGATGATGGTTATGATGATGATGATGACGATGACGATGATGATGATGATGATGATGATGATGATGATGATGATGATGATGCTGATGCTGCTGATGATGATGATGAGGATGATGATGATGATGATGATGATGATGATGATGATGATGATGCTGCTGATGCTGATGCTGCTGCTGATGATGATGAGGATGATGATGATGCTGATGATGATGATGATGATGATGGTGCTGCTGATGATGATGCCGACGACGATGATGATGTTGATGATGGTGATACTGATGATTATGATGGTGATGGTGATGGTGATGGTGATGGTGATGATGATGATGATGATGATGATGATGATGATGATGATGATGATGATGATGATGATGATGATGATGATGCTGCTGCTGCTGCTGCTGCTTCTGCTGATGATGATTGTGATGGGAATGAGAGGAGGATGAGGAGGAGGATGGGGAGGATAATGAGGAGGAGGATGAGGAGGATGCGGAGGGGCATCAGGAGGATGGGGGTGAGGATGCGGACGAGGAGGAGGAGGAGGAGGAGGAGGAGGAGGAGGAGGATGAGGAGGATGCGGAGGGGCATCAGGTGGATGGGGGTGAGGATGCGGACGGAGGAGGAGAGGAGGAGGAGGAGAGGAGGAGGAGGAGGAGGAGGAGGAGGAGGAGGAGGAGGAGGAGGAGGAGGAGGGAGGAGGAGGAGGAGGAGGAGGGAGGAGAGGAGGAGGAGGAGGAGGAGGAGGATGGATGATGACGTTGGTGGTGTTGGCAAGGCTGAAGAAGAGAGGGAGCAGGAGAAGGGAGGATGCAGAGAGGGAGGCGGTAATCTAGGTGCGCTCGCGGCACAAATTGTATCCCACGCGTTCCACCCATCCTTTACCATTGCGTTGAATCCGTTCCGTCTTATCCGCCGACAGGTGTCCGAGAGGACTTTGATCCTCAAGCAACAGCTGGAGGATTTGACCCATCGTTTGCTGCGCAGTCGGAATTTGAGGCTTTTGTGCGTTGGAGGGTCGGGCGGATGAGCAGGAGGAGGACGAAGAGGAGGAGGTGGCGGAGGATGAGGAGAAAGAGGAGGAGGAGCAGGAGGAGGAGGAGGAGGAGGAGGAGGAGGAGGAGGAGGAGGAGAAGGAGGACGAGAAGTAGGAAACGGCAGCACGTGCAGGGGCAAGAGCACGAGCAGGCGGGGCAGGATGATCAGGGGAAGGCGGATGAGGGGAACGGAGGGGGAGAGTGCTGATTCGAGGCTGCACTGCGCGATGTGGCGGGCGAGGCGCAGCAGCCGGCGAGTTCAGAGGCTCCGCTGCAGGAGCCCGGAGGGTGAGCAGAAACCTCCTCGTCCTCGTCCTCCTCCTCCTCCTCCTCTTCGTCCGCCTCAGCCGTCCTGTCCGCTGCCTTGCGCGGCAACGTCTTTGTGGCGACCGTCGCCGCTCCCGCCTTCCCGCCTTGGCGTGCCAAGGCGCCGTCCCGCGGCCCCTGAGGATGGAGGACGCCCCTCTCTGCGGTCGTCCCCTCCTTTCTGCAAGGCGTGGGGTGGCGCACTGACAGCTTATAAGCACCCCCTCCCTCAGTCGGGTGGCCTTCGACCATGGTTTGTGCTCGCCCCCCCGCCATGCCTGACAAACAGCAATACGAAGAGCATGGTGGCGCACGCTGTGGGCACCATGCTAACATTCCACGATTATTTCGCGTGGATTTGAGCAATGCAGGGGTGGTTGTGTAGATGGGGGTGGTATCTTTTGTGTGCCGCCGCATGAAATGGCGCACCTTGTTTAATTGGCGCCAGTGGCACACCTGACTCACCTGGCGCACCTGGCTTGCCTGGCGCACCTGGCGCGCCTGGCGTTCCTGGCGCACCCAGCGCGCCTGGCGCGCTTGGTGCCCATGTTGTCCATACGGGACGCCGATCGCTACCCATTATGAGCCTTCAGTGCTATCTGCGCGTGCGTGTGTGTGTGTGTGGCAATCTCACATTGTCCACTTCCACCTCCTCCTCTTCCTCTTCCTCTTCATCTTCTTCCTCCTCCTCCTCCTTCTCCTCCTCCTCCTCCTCCTCCTCCTCCTCCTCCTCCTCCTCCAAGCTTCCACTTCCACGTTCCCTTTCCTCTGGCTACCCTCTCCTCCGCCGTTCCATTCTTCCATGACGTGTGCGTGGGGGTCTTGTCTCCCTCCTTGGGGCCAGTTTTTCACCCAGGGAATCGTTGTTGAACGGCTGTGGGACCGGGAGACGGTCTCCAAAGGCCGCCCTGGCCGCCGCCACCTATTTTTTGCGACGCGCGGACCTGAGGGTACCTTCCCCCGTGCCAGCTGTGCCCCGTCGGCAACCAATTTTTCGGCGACGAATCACCAAAAAGGTTTTGCAAACTCTCTACTGGTGGCCCCACAGTGGGCCTCGCCTCTCTCGCTGGCGAGCAGGCTTTCTTTCTTGTTTGCAACCGGCCCCTGGTCATCCGAGCATTCATCCTTCCCTCCTGCTGGCCTTTTCCCTGAGGGTATTCAGGCCTCCCGAATGGGCCCAGAGCAGGGCAGGGCTGGAGGACCGCGACGCATCACCGATGCATCGGCCATGCGGGGCGCGATCCGGTGCCTGCTCTGTCGCGGCGTCGCGATGCATCGGCTGTGCGGTGCGGTCCTCGCGCTGCGTCTGCTCCAGCACCCTTTAGGATGCTTCGCCCTTCTCCTTCGTTCCTCCTCCCTCCCTCCCTCCTTCTCCTCTGTCCCTCCCTCGTCCCTTCTCCTTCGTCCTCTCCAGTGTGTGGGTGGTGGTCACTGCGGGAGGGAAACAAATCCCGAGTACAGTAACACATATTATGACCACGACGACGCTGAAAACGACGACTGAGACGAAGCGCGCAGACGATCCGCACCGAAACACGGATCAGGGAGAGGGCCCACCTTGCAGCCATCGTTGAGCGGTGTTGCAGCCTCCCCTGAGCACAGGCCCCCCCAGAGCATCAACCAGACAAGTCGGGCTTGCACCCTCATGCCTCGCTGGACTCTGGGCGAGTTTCGGCCCTGCCACTGCCGTCGCCAACCCCCTCGTTAGGGCCACCGACTCGGGTGACGGCGACGGAGAGAGGAGGAGGGATGACGAGGAGGGAGCAGGAATGGGCATGGTGGGGGCTGCTGGGATGGGGAGGAAAGAAGGATGGCTGAGAAAAAGGAATGAAGAGGACGAGGGTGAGGGGTCGGAATCCTGGGATCCGTTTTCGCGAAAAAAGTTGCTCCGTCGCGAAACATCACGATCGGAGCCCTAGACCACATCTTTTTGCGGTAATGCCTGGGTGGGATTGACCTGTGAAGGTCCTGGGGCCCGAGACTAGGTGAAAACGCACAGTGTGAGAAGCTGCATCGCCCAGATCTAAGAAGAGAAGGGAGACGGAGGAGGACCTCCATCCCAGTCTCTCTGGATCCCCCGAGTTCTTGACATTTTCCCCAGACCAGCTGTCCATCCTGAGCCGTTGTTGACAGTCCCGACGCTCGCGGAAAGGGGCTTCAGAGGCCGAGAACGGCCAAGCATTGTCCGCCGTGAAATTCTCACTGCGCGAGGAGATGGGGGACGGAAACGGGCCTCCGTCCCGATCTCCCTCGCCCCGAGGAGCGGGAGGCGGCGGGGGCCACCACCCCGACGGCGGCGCTGGCGGCCCTGTCGCTGCCGGGCCCGGTGGCCGCCCTGCTGGGGTCCGTGGCCGCGTCCGACCGCAAGATCGGGGCCCTCGAGGCCACCATCCGCGAGGCCCCGGGGGGAGACAGTCGCCGGGTCCTCCGACGACAGGGGGAGGAGAGACAGGAGCGATGAGCGGGGAGGAGGAGGAGGAGGAGGAGGAGGAGGAGGAGGAGGAGGAGGAGGAGGAAGAGGAGGAGGAGGAGGAGGAGGAGGAGGAGTGCGGGGAAGGGGAAGGAGGAGGAGGAGGAGGAGGAGGAGGAGGAGGAGGAGGAGGAGGAGGAGGAGGAGGAGGAGGAGGAGGCGCGTGCGCCCCTCTCACGCCGCGTAGGGTGAAGGGGCGGCGCCCAGACGCGGCATCGGGCCATGGAGGATTCGGGCCCCGCGGACAAGCTCGCCGCTCGAGACGCATCGGGGCCTCTAGGGCCCGGGCCGCCCAACCCGGTTGCGACTTTTCGGGCCTCGGGCGGAATCTTAACAAAAACCTTTGCCCAGATTGGCTATGCAGCCAGGCGAGGCCGGCCGAGCACCGTTCGGGATTTGGCCAAAGCCGTCACAGCCAGCCAGGAGACCAGCATCAGCACGACGGCCACTGCCACCTCAGGGAACGCTCGCGCGCAGCATGTCGCCATCGCGGTGCCGCCAGCTGTCTTGTTCCCATCCTTCGGAGAGATTCGCCACCCTTCATGCCAGGCCCCGACCCGCTGATCCTGGCGCCCTTCATCCCAGCAGCCGGCACAGACATTGCACATTGAGTTGTTTAGCATCTTCCCCTGCCGTCTATGTGCCGCCGCCGCCGCCTTTCGCTGCCGTGCGATATTGTACCGCATTTGTGTTTGGTTTCGAGTTACTTGGTCGGCACCGCGGGCCAGCTTGGTGTCAGTGAAAAGGGAGTGCTTTGTGTCGTGGCAGTGTCGTCGTCTCTCCTCCCGCGCTCACACATGCTATACACATCAGCTTGCCCGATTTTGCAGCCATGTCGAAAACGACCCGTCCAGAACAGGGATGGACCCACGTAACATCATCTTCACATCCCACATTTGCCGAGGATCTTGTTCCCCTGGCAAATAACTGGTTACCCGCCGAAAGCGCGATGGTTGCATCCAGTGCGCACATGGACGTGAATGAAGATTCTGGTGCGATTATACTATCTGCAACAACCGAAGGTTTCACAAGTAATGTCCCGCCAGACTTGGTAGGCCAATTCCCCCCGAACGTCCTTGTAAGTTCGCTCGTTGGTGAGCCGTTCACGGTAGAACACGAACATGACTCGGCATTGGTTCAACCCATGGATCGAGACGAGAAGATGGAATGCGACCTTTCAGATGTTATAGACGAGGATGATACCAGCTCCGAACTTTCTTCGACCGAGTGAGGAACGCATGTCGTGGTGTCCCAAATACAACATGTAAGATACATTATTGGAGAGACCCCAGCACCGAAACGACCTAAAGTACCAGACGACGTCAGCATGGAACGATGCTCGCCGTTGGAAGTTTCCAGCTTTTCTGGAAATTTGGCAAAGGCAAATGCTTGGCCCGTGATACAGGAAACCGAGGGAACACATTATGAATCAATGCCGCCACGTTTGAATGTCAAGATCCCGTCCCTTGCCGCTCCCTTCGTGCTCCGTTCCCCCCCCGGTCGACCATTCATCGCCGATCGGGGCGTGGGTGCCCCCAGCAGCAGGAGGAAGAAAAGGAGGAGGAGGGAGCAAGGAACACGGAGCAGGGAGGAGGATGAGGACGAGAAAAAGAAGGAGTAATAGCAACCATAAAAGTAGTAAGTGTACGAATAAGAAGCATACTAATAATGCCAATGCTAACAACATGACTATTACCATTAATAGTAACAGTTGCAATAAGAAAACGACTAGTAATAACAGTTACAATAATACTTGCGGAATAAAACAATTATGTTTGCTTTTGACGATCAACCATAATACTAAAGCTGCAATACGAAACATAAGGCAATTAATAATACGAGTACTAAGAATAACACTAATCATACACCAACTCATAATCCACTAGTAATAACAATACTTATAACAAGAATACGACTTGTAAGAAGGAGAGGAGGAGGAGGAGGAGGAGGAGGAGGAGGAGGAGGAGGAGGAGGAGGAGGAGGAGGAGGAGGAGGAGGAGGAGAGGAGGGGGAGGGAGGAGAGAGGAGGAGGAGGAGGAGGAGGAGGAAGGAGGAGGAGGAGGAGGAGGAGGAGGAGGGGGAAGAGGGAGGAGGAGGAGGAGGAGGAGAGGAGGAGGAGAGGAGGAGGGGAGGAGGAGGAGGAGGAAAAGGGGAGGAGGAGGAGGAGGAGGAGGAGGAGGAGGAGGAGGAGGAGGAGGAGGAGGAGGGAGGAGGAGGATGAGGAGGAGGAGGAGGAGGAGGGGATGAGGAGGAGGAGGAGGAGGGAGGAGGAACAGGAGGAGGAGGAGGAAAAAAGGAGGAGAGGAGGAGGAACAAAAGGAGGAGGAGGAGGAGGAGGAGGAGGAGGAGGAGAGAGGAGGAGGAGAGGAGGAGGAGGAGGAGGAGGAGGAGGAGGAGGAGGAGGAGGAGGAGGAGGAGGAGGAGGAGGAGGAGGAGGAGGAGGAGGAGGAGGAGGAGGAGGAGGAGGAGGAGGAGGAGGAGGAGGAGGAGGAGGAGGAGGAGGAGGAGGAGGAGGAGGAGGAGGAGGGGAGGAGGAGGAGGAGGAGGAGGAGGAGGAGGAGGAGGAGGAGGAGCTGGCTCTCCTTCGCTGTCGCTGGCATCCGCGGGCGAGCGTGCGGGCCCATGGCCCGCTCAGTGACGCCTTGAGCGCTCGCTCCCGCGGCTTGGCCACGAAAGGTGGTGACCCCCGACCTCCGCGGTCGTGATGCTTGCACGTGGGGCCCCGGAGATTTTTGGGCCTCTTCCCCGGGGCCGGAAACCATCTCCAAAGCCGTTTTCGTTGACAGTCATGGGGCCCAGTGAACGGGCCCCCCAGAGGCCGCAGATGGACGGACGTCTTGAGCCGCGCAGTCGGACCGAGGTGTAAGACCGAGGTCGGTTCGGGGAGGGTGCCCTGGTGTTCTTGGTGCTTGTTGGATGCTCCTTGTGCACCCTGGGGAGGGTACCCTTGGATGTTCTGTGTGTTTTGGCCGGCGAGGGGTCTCGTGTTCCTGAGGGATGTTCTTCTGTCCTGGATTCGACTGTACTGGGACGGCCTTGCGGCCAGTGCCGCCGGCCGTGAAGGGGGACGACGACGACGACGATGACGACGGCGATGACGACGACGCTGGCCCTCTGGAGTCGAAAACTTCTCCCAGGGAGAGGCGCCCCCCCCTCCGCCCCTAGAAGCGCCTTCCATCTTACGCATTTGGCTGACGTTGCGACGCGAGGACGTCGGGCCCCCCGTGGTGGTGGCCGCCCTTGGCACTGCGGGGGCCGTGGCCGAGAAGTCTGGCCGCCGCCAGCTGCGTTTGTGCGCCCGTCGGATCTAGCCTGAAGTCGGGTACGTCCCTCCACAGGAGGAACATTCAAGAATAAAATACTCTGGGGACGTATTCTGGGGATTTTGTTTTTTTTTGTTTCGTTCAAAATCCGCCTTTAGGGGGACATGCCCGACCTAAATCTATCCAGAACCCCGCGTAAGGGGAGCCGGGGAGCCGGCCTGTGATTGGGCCCCGAAGTCCCAAGAATGGTCCAGGTTCGCTAAACCATCTCTGCCGTAGCTGGTAATTCTTCGCGTGGCGGCAGTTCCAGTTAGTGGAGTGGGGCGGGGGGGGGGGTACGCCCCCTTAGTTCACATCACTGAGCCAGGTCCCACGGAACCCAGCCCTGCCAACGTCCGAGCCCTGCTGCCGTGGCGGCGGCCGGCGACGGCGGCTCGAAGGCTGCCCGAGTTGGTCCTGGCTCCTGGTGCCTGGGCCCATGGTGCTCCGATCGAGCTGTGGTGGTCGGGGTCCGGGCCCGCGGCGGGTGCTCCTCTTGCCGATGGCGGCAGCCGGGGCGTTCCATGCCTCGCAGTTCTCAATCCTTTTCCTGGTTAGTGGGTCGATCATTTTTTTTAGCTCCCCCCCTGCCCCCCCCCCCATTGACGCGTCATCGCCGAGCAAAAAAAAACTCTCCTCGATGGCCAGCCTCCGTTCTCGGGTCCTGGGGCCTCCGAAGATGGACCTGGGCCCAGGCCAGGGCCCTCTTCGATCCGATCGAATCTCCTTCAGGCAGCCATGATGCCCACTTTCCCTCCTCGTCGTCGTCGTCGTCCTTCGCCCACGCGTTCGCAGCTTCACGCTGCAAGAGAGAAGCCAATGGGGTTCTGGCTTGCTTCGTCGAGTTGGGTTCCCGTAATCATCGAGCCGATCGATCTGATTCCATTGCTATCGGCTCAGACCCGTTCGATCCGAGTCGATTATCGATTCGAATACTCCGACGATCCGAGGCGGCCTGATGCTCGCACGGCTCTGGTGTGCATTCTTGCGCGGCCGATCCGATTCGATTCTGACTTCGTGCCGATGCAGCCCTATCCGACGCACATTCCGCTTCGATCTGGTAGATCGACTCGATGCTTAACACTTTGCGGTGCTCCCAGCTTTTTAGCACCACTTTTCGTCGCGAGGTATCCGGCCCCTAACCAAACTTCTGGGTCGGTGTTGGAGGTCGCCACGGCGATCGTGGCGGCCTCAAATCGGGGCAAGGTGTTTTTGTCAGCTTATGTCTGAACTGGTCAGTCGCTTTTTGTTTTGTTGTTGTTTTTTTCAGGTAGGGGTCGATTTTCACTCACCGCCCACCAGACCACCCCAACCCGATCCGAAGGACACAATTTGCCCTCCATTCCCAGGGGGTGGGGCGTCGGGAAACACTGAAACAACACATATGGGACCCGTACCCCTTCAACACGACATTCGGGTCTTCGGGTTGGGTTGGGCGGTCTGGTAGGTAGTCAGTCACGCCTCCAACTTTGTGCCCCATGGGCCTCGCCAGGGTGGCTAGGCCCCCTGGGCCTCCCTGGAATCGCCGGGGCCGCCTCGGGTCAGGACCACCTCCGGCAGCCTCCGAGCGGCGGCGGCGGCGGCGACGGTGACGACGACGAAGACGACGACGTCGATGACGACGACGAGGATGATGACGACGACTACGACGACGACTAGGGCGGTCACGATGACTACGACGACGACAAGGGCGAGGACGAGGACGAGGACGACGACGACGAGGACAACGACGAGGACGAGGATGAGGACGACGACGAGGACGAGGACGAGGAGGAGGAGGAGGAGGAGGAGAAGGAGGAGGAAGAGGAGGAGGAGGAGGAGGAGGGAGGAGGAGGAGGAGGAGGAGGAGGAGGAGGAGGAGGCCGAGGAGGAGGACGGCGGCGGCGGCCGCGGCGGCGGCGGTGGCGGCGATGCCCCTCGGAGGTGGAGGAGCTGCTCGTCAGCCGCGAGGAGGCCTGCGCGCAGCTCGAGAGGGAGGTGTCGCTCGCCCGCCACGACGCCGCCTGCCTGGAGCAGGAGCGCGCCCGAGCAGGAAGTGGCGGCTAGGAGAGGAGCGCGCGCTTGCCATCCCAGACCTCCGAAGGACCGAGTCTTTCGGGCCTCCAAGTCCCAGTCTCCCAGTGTCCTCATCCTCCCTTTCCTCCTTTTCCTTCTTCCTTCCCTCCTCCTCCCTGTTCTCCTCCTCCTCCTCCTTCTTCCTTTTTTCCTCTGCCTTCCTCCTCCTCCTCCGCCTCCTCCTCCTCTGCCTTCCTCCTTCTCCTCCTCCTCCTCCTTCTCCGCGTTCCTCCTCCTCCGCCTTCCTCCTCCTCCGCCGTCCCCCTCCCCCTCCTCCCCCTCCTCCTCCTCCTCCTCCTTCTCCTCCCTCTCGTTCTCGCCCTCCTCTTAGATGGGCGGCCACGCTGTGCGGAGGTAGCTGGCAAACCCGCTCGTGGAGCCAGGACTCCCTGACCTCCAAAGCTTCGCATCGCTCGGACGTGCGTATCTTTCCTCGGCGAGAACCATCGAGGAGCAGTTTGGGCCGCCTTGCGAAAAAAGCACGCGCGCGAAACCGACAAGTGCCCAGGGAAGGGGCGTCCGATGGCGAGAAGAGACCGAGCTCTCAACCCCGCGCGCTCCCTCTCGAGACCTCAGCCCCTGGAGGCCGCCGTCTGGCCCACCGGGGGGGGCCTCGGCCGAGTGCTCCCGGGACGCGGAGCTGCCCCGCGGGCAGGGGGCCCATGGGGAGCTCTGGGGCCGTGGGCCGGCAAGAAATCGCATCGTCGGACGCCTGGGTAACTTCGAAGAAGAGCACCGCCGGGGGGATCGATTGTCGCGGACCTCCAGAGGCGGTGGATGTGGAGGTATTCGGGCCCCCGGGGGCCAGAACATATCCATATCCACCGCCCGCTGGGGCACCAGGACGTCGGTTCCCAGGCGGCGGATATGGATGAATCCCCGCCTCGCAAAGACAAATTCCATCAACATCACCTTTTGGCGCTCCGCGCGGATTTCTCGGATCTGCGCTAGGCCCCCCGGCGGCGCCTGCGGCGCCGCGCGGCGCGCCACAAGCTTCTCTTTGTGCCGTTCTGTCTTCTTCTATAGCTTGCGTGGCACTGCGCTCCGCCCCCCCCTCCTGTCCGCCGTCTCGCGAGGCAGTGCCGGGCCCTGAAAGCGTGCAGGCAGGCTTGCCGTGTCCAGGAGAAGACCGCCAGGGTCGAAGCTCCCAGACGTTCTGGGCCTTCTCGGTCCTCCCTCGGCCTCCAGAGGCCTCCGGGGAGGCGCCCCTGGACCTGTGTACTGCAGCGTCCTCTGCAGAGGTCTCCAGAGGCCGCCTGGGGACCTCCGGACCTTCCCCTCCGACGACGCATGTCTTGCAACTGCACGTGAGAATTACCCTCAGCGGGAGTGACCTTTGTGGTGCGGGCTCATCCGGGTCCCCCGATCGTTGAGCTCGATACGATATCGGCTGATTGCGAGCTTCGATTTGGCCACCTTGCGCCCCCCTACGTCCGCGCACCGAGGGTCACTCCTGCCTGGGGTCATGCTTGCGTGTCGCCGAGCTCTTCGCGGCGTGCCCCCCCCCCGCAGATATCTCGGCCTCTTCCCGGGGGGCCGGCTCGTCCTCTCGAGTCACTTCTTGACAGTCCCAGGGCTAGGAAGCGGCCTTCAGCGGCCGCGCCAGGTCTGAGGAGGAGGAGGAGAAGGAGGGAGGAGGAGGAGGAGGAGGAGGAGGAGGAGGAGGAGGAGGACGGGGAGGAGGAGGAGTAGGAGGAGGAGTAATAATGATAAGATTACTAATAAGCATACGAGCGATGAGAAGAAGAAGAAACATGGTTACGAAGAATATAACTTACGATCAGAACAATAATACTCATACTAAGAAGAATAATACTACTACTAATAATGATGCGAATATTAAGACTGATACGACTAATACGAACCCTAATCATAATACGACGACTAACAGCACTATTAATCATACAAAAAACATACTACTACTACTACTACTACTACTACTACTACTACTACTACTACTACTACTACTACTACTACTACTACTACTACTACTACTACTACTAATGATAAGACTCATACTACTTCTAATAATGATGACACTAAACATAAGCATACTCATCATACCATCGAATGATGATGATTACTAGTAACCGTCGTACAGTTATCAGCTACTCATCATACAGTATTGCTATTTATCAACTTATCAACAATACAGATACTATAGCAGCATCACATTAATCATTATATATTAATAACATGATGCGACTAATAATGAATACGAAGAATCAGCATACTATGAATCATACTAATAAGACGACTACTAATGATGATACTAATAAGAAGAATACGATTACGAATGCGAATGCTAATAAGACGAAGCATACGAATAATAACACGAATGGTACTAGTAATAATAATACTAATAAGAGGAGGGGGAGGTGGAGGAGGAGGAGGAGGGGAGGAGGGGGAGGAGGATGATGAGGAGGAGGAGGAGGAGGAAGGAGGAGGAGGAGGAGGAGCAGGAGGAGCAGGAGGAGGTGGAGGAGGATTAGGAGGAGGAGGTGGAGGAGGAGGAGGAGGAGGAGGAGGGGAATGAGGGGGAGGCTTGGAGCGATCGTCAGACCAGACTCCTTCTGGGCACGGCCGTCACGCGACCGCCCCCAGCCGCAGGAGGTGGAACTTCACCGCAGCATTCTGGAGGAGCAGGACCCGCGAGGAGGAGGAGGAGGAGAAGGAGGAGGAGGAGGAGGAAGAGGAGGAAGAGGAGGAGGAGGAGGGAGGAGGGAGGAGGAGGAGGAGGAGGAGGAGAGGAGGAGGAGGAGGAAATGGAGGAGGAGAGGAGGAGGAGGAGGAGGAGGAGGAGGAGGAGGAGGGAGGAGGGGAGGAGATGAGGAGGAGGAGGAGAAGGAGGAGAGAAGGAGAGGAGAAGGAGGAGGAGGAGGAGGAGGAGGAGGAGGAGGAGGAGGAAGAGGAGGAGGAGGAGGAGGAGGAGGAGGAGTAGGAGGAGGGAGGGTGGAGGAGGAGGAGGAGGATGGTGGAGGATGGAGGAGGATGAGGAGGATGGTGGAGGATGGAAGAGGATTGTGGAGGATGAGGAGGAGGAGGAGGAGAAGGAGGAGCCAGAGGCGGAAAAGGAGGAGGAGGAGGAGGAAGAGGAGGAGGAGAAGGAGCAGGGAGGAGGAGGGAGGAGGAGCGATGAGGAGGATGAGGAAGAGGGAGGATGAGAGGATGAGGAGGAGGAGGAGGAGGAGGAGGAGGAGGAGGAGGGGAGGAGGAGGGAGGAGGAGGAGGAGGAGGAGGAGGAGAGGAGGAGGAGGAGGAGGAGGAGGAGGAGGAGATGGAGGAGCAGGATGAGGAGGAAGGGGAGGAGGAGGTGACGAAGCTCGTAGCCGCGTATGCGGATGGATACGACATCTTCGGGTTCTCGACGGCCGTGAGCGCCGACGGGGGGCCCGGGTGGTGTTGGGGCCTTGAGGGACGACGATGCCGGGGAAAGATTTGGGTCCGCGTGCGTGTTCGACGGGGCCAGCGGTGCGCAGCTGGGGAAGCTCTGGGCCGCGGACGCGGCCGCTGACGCCCGCTTCGGGCGCTCGGTGGCCGTGAGTGCCGATGGGGCCCGGGTGGTGGTGGGGGCCCATCACGCCCACGACGACACCGGGTCGGCGTACGTATTCGACGGGGCCAGCGGCGCGCAGCTGGCGAAGCTTGTGGCCGCGGACGCGGCCGCTGGCGACCGATTTGGCGTCTCGGTGGGCGTGAGCGCTGACGGTGCCCGGGTTGTGATGGGGGCCGATGCCTGGCTCTCCAGTTCCGGGTCCACGTGCGCGTTCGACGGGGCCAGCGGCGCGCGGTTGTAAAAGCTCATGGCCGCGGATGCGGACAACGACGGCCGCTTCGGGTTCTCGGCGGCCGTGAGCGCCGACGGAGGCCGGGCGGTGGTGGGAGCCTACTACGACGACCACGCTGGGCCTGCGTCTCGGTCCGCGTACGTGTTCGACACTGCCAGCGGGGCGCAACTGGGAAAGCTTGTGGCCGCGGACGCGGCCGCTGGCGACTACTTCGGGCGCTCGGTGGCCATGAGCGCCGATGGGGCCTGGGTGGTGGCGGGGGCAACGGCGGCGCTGGACCCTTGTCCAGGTCCTCCTGCGGCGCGCAGCTGGCGAAGCTCGTGGGCGTACGCGGCTGGATACGACATCTTCGGGTTCTGGCTAGCCGCGAGCGCCTACAGGGCCCGGGTGGTGGCGGGGGCCTTGAAGGATGACGACGCTGGGGTAACGTCCGGGTCGTGTACGTGTTCGACCCCCCACCCCGGACGCGCCGACGGCATATAGTTGAACGAATGGTTTACTTTACAGTAGCTGTACTTACACGACCTCTTCGACGTCCTCGACGGTGACGACCAGCGAGACGGCCACGACCAACACCAAGAGCATGTCAACCACTTCAAGCGAGACAAGCGCCATTTAGAGGACAGCGGCCGCGACCAGCACCGAGGATATCACGTCCACGACCGTCTACGACGGGGCCTCCATCACCATCATCATCATCATCATCATCATCATCATCATCATCATCATCATCATCATCATCATCATCATCATCATCATCATCATCATCATTATTATCATCATCATCATCACCATCATCATCATCATCATCATCATCATCATCATCATCATCATCATCATCATCATCATCATCATCATCATCATCATCATCTTCATCATCATCATCATCATCATCACCACCATCATCATCATCATCAGCATCATCATCACCTCATCATCACCTCATCATCATCAGCATCATCATCACCTCATCATCATCATCAGCATCATCGTCATCATCAGCATCAGCATCAGCATCAGCATCAGCATCAGCATCAGCATCAGCATCAGCATCAGCATCAGCATCAGCATCAGCATCAGCATCATCACCATCACCATCATCATCATTGTCATAATCTGCAACCTGATCTGCTTCGCAATCTTCGCCAGCCAATTGCTTATTCTCGGCGCGTGGATAGTGCGGTCCGCTGGGAAATTGTCTAAGACTCTGTTTCTCACCAAGTCAGGCTGAAGGTTGTTTTCTCTTTGGATACGCGTGGTGCATGGGGGGACAAAAACAGAGGATTGACAGTTGCTCAGTTGGCCGCACTCCGCTGAACTTCGCAGGAGCTCGCGAAATTGGCGAGAGTTGCCCAGAGGGCACCACCCGACAACCGAGGAGTTCAAGCTTTGGCAGTGGTAGGACGTCATTCCGCCAACCACCCAACAAGCTGACGAAACTAATGGCAGTGGCATAGTTGGGACCACCCAGGGAGGCGAGGTCTAGTTAGGCGCTGGACTTCCACAGGCTCATGGAAGTGGCGGCAGCTGCGAAACTGGCCTTGCCAATCCCTCTGCTTGATCTCCCAGGGGCTCACAACACTGGCGACAGTTGCACAGTCGACAGCGCCCAGCGAGGGCGAGGTTCAGTTTCGGCCTGGGGAAGACCGCGTTCCGCTTGATGCGCTCAAGAAGCACAGGAAAATCAACGACATTGTCATCATGGGGTCCTCTCGGAGGCTTTTCATAGCGCTTTGGTTGCCTCTGGGGTCGCCTTGGCCGACCTGGACGAGTTGGGAGGCCACGTTGGTTTCTCTCGGCTCATCTTGGAGGCCATCAGGGACCACCTTTGGCCGTCCTGGAAGCCATGCTGCTTGGCTTGGTCATCTTGGAGGCGATTTGCTCGGGCCTTCCGGACTTTCAAGTCGTCTCCGCTGGGCTGGCAGGCTTGGCCGAAGGCCACCAGGAACATTTGGAAGGGCCAAGACGAGCTATCATACCTGGCACGCTAACACCCGTCAGTAGTTAGGTTACGGGGGCGGCGGGTCTAGGGGCTTTCAGCCTCTGCCGCTACCGACCAGAGGCCCGTTGGCTGGGGTGCCTCTTGGGATCTCGTGCGGGGTCTCTTGGGAGCGGGGGCCGCCTCCGGGGCCCTCTTGGGTGCCTGCTGGGTGTGGCGCGCTGTTTAGACAGAGGTGGCGCGATGTTTAGGCCTCTCGTGGGGTCGTCTAGAGGCCTCTTGGGGCCTCGTCGGTCGTACGATCGGCAGACCGAAAAAAGGCGAGGATGTTTCTTTCACAGGCATCCTGTGTTGTAGGAGCTTCGTTTTGAAGAGACGGCGCCCCGTGTCTCATTCCTCCTCCTCCTTTCCTTCCTCCTCTCCTCCTCCTCTCCTCCTGGCCACTTGTGGCGGCTTGCGGCTCTTGTGCGCGCTGGCAGGGTGCCTTCTGAGGCCGCCGTGCATTTTGTGCACCGTGCTCGCGCCCACTCGGCGCCAGCAGCTCCGCCCACGTCTCGACCTCGGCCTTCCCCCCTGGCTCAGACGCCTCCTCCCTCTCGTCCTCCTCGACCTCCAGGCCGTCCAACTCGTTTCGTGCGGGCGAAGCAGTAGCGGCCACCGCGTCAACCAGTGCTGAACTGGTGAGGGGTGCTATCCTGCCCGGATCCCCCTCTCGGGCGCAGGCAGGCCAGAGTCGGTACCCCTGGCCTGCAGGAGATCTGCGGCCTCGGTCGCAGCACGCAGCAGCGGCTCTGGATCGATAGCTGATAGCTACAAGCCTTTTTATGGCATTACAGTCGGGGCGCTGAAGAAGGAACCCTTTTCGTTGGGGAGGGGCTCGGTGTTCCTTGATTGTTCTACAGCTTTCCTTGGGTTTTCATGAGGTTTCCCATGGGAGATCGACGTGTAACTTCTGGGAAGAAAAGGTTCCTCGTTCCTTATTTAGGATTCCTTCGGTCAACGCCCCGACTGTACTGTTCTGGACGCCGTCTGCTCTCCTCTTGCCTTCCTCCGCCCGTTTCTCCGCGCTCCATCCTGGCCCCTGCCAGGCGGAACCTGTCATTTTGTTTGGTAAAGCACCTCTCACGAGGCACGCTGGCCCCGGCTCCAGACCGCAGTGCGAAGTTTCCGGGATGGGTACTTTTCTTCGAGAGTGGTCGATGCGCCCCTGGCCCGAGCGAGCAGGCGGCTGGCGCCGAGGCGAGGGCACGATGCGGGGCGTGAGCGGTAAGGATGTCCGGTGGTCAGCTGCAGGGGTGTATCGGGCAGGAGCACCATACTTGTTTGATGTTTGAGGAGGGCCCGAGCGGGAGAAAAAGTGGGAGGGAGGGGCAGATGGAATAGAGCCAGGAGGATGAGGAGTGACGAGGGACGGTTTCCAGAGCATGATGAGAAGGTGGTGGTTGAGGAGGAGGAGGAGCAACAGATGTGAGGAGGAATGACTCACAGACGAGAGGACGAGGAGGACAAGAGGAAGGAGGGGAGGCGGAGGAGGAGGGGACGGAGGCCGGGGCAGAGGAGGAAGCGGAGCAGGAGGGGGGAGGGCGACAAGGATGATGATGATGATGATGATGATGATGATGATGATGATGATGATGATGATGATGATGATGATGATGATGATGATGATGCTGATGCTGATGCTGATGCTGATGCTGATGCTGATGCTGATGACGATTATGATGACGGTGATGATGATGCTGCTGATGATGCTTAGTATGAGGATGATGCTGATGAGGTTGAGGATGAGGCTGATGGTAATGTTGATGGAGATGCTGCTGATGATGCTGATGATGACGATGGTGATCACGATGTAGATGAAGCTGATGATGAAGATGGAAATGTTGGTGATGCTGATGATGCTGCTAATGATTATGATGATGCTGATGATGACGATGACAATGGCGATGCTGATGATGGTGATGATAATGATGATGGTCATCATGATGGTGATTCTGATGATGACGGTACTAATTATGATGATAGTGATGATGCTGATGATACTGCTGCTGATAATGATGAGGATTCTCCTGATAATGATGATGATGGTGATGATGGTGGTGTTGACGATGATTATGATCATGGTGGTGGTGACGACGAGGACGAATATGGCGATGCTGATGATTATAATAATGATGATGATGGTGGTGGTGATCGTGGTGGTGGTGATTATGGGGAGGAGGAGGAGGAGGAAAAGGACGACGACAACGATGACGAGTACGACCACGATGGCGACGATAACGATGGCGAGGAGGTGCAGGCCGATCAGGACCATGAGGACGATGAGGATTCTGAAACACTCGCGAGTTGTCTTGGGAGCCACCCTGGACCGCTGTTCGGGGATCATGGTCTCCGCGCCGAGATCATGCCTTGCTGGAGCATCCTGTGCTTACTGCATGTCGACCATCCCACTCTGGAGGTCACGGTGTCGGCCACCCAGTTCACGCCAGGCCCAGACGCTCGCCTGCTGCGGTGGCCTTCTTCTGTCTCCGCCTCATCATTCTCCCGTCGTTTCCGAGTAGTAGGGGTGGGTATCGTCTCGTCATCACTGGATTCGGGCGGGATGGTCTCTCTCTCTCTCGTTCGCTCTCTCTCTCTCTCTCGCGCCCCCTGTCTCTCTCTCTCTCTGGCTCTATCGCCTGCCACAAGACTGCATAGCGGATGTGTGTTCACTGCGGCTTGGTTGCCTGCATCGTTGCCAGACGTCCGACGAGGCGATTTTTTCCACCCGCGCCCCAGATGTCTCGACCCCTTCCCTGGGGTTGGCTGTTCGTCCCGGATCCGTTTTTGATGGTCCCGGGTCCCGATAACAATTCCTGGGGGCCGAAATCGAGGAGAAACTCTGGTCCGCACCCTGCCCGTGCCCCGCGAGGATGCTCTCTGGCTGAGCCTGCACCAGGGCCGGCGGAAGCTCGTAGACGAGTTCCACGCGGAAACCTTCGAGCATAGGCATTTAGTATCGTTGAGCCAATCCCCATCCCCACCTACCCCACTATCCCACCACCCCAGTCTGGGTATGCCCTTCGAAACTCGAAGAGAAACGTTTACATCCCCATTTAGGGGGGTAAACTGGCCAGGGAGTCCTAGGCCACGCCCGTGGGGATATGGATCGGTTAAACTATGCTGAGGCACGCGGCGCTGGAAGCCGACGGGCTTCTGCTCACTGGGCGCTCGGAGCTCTCCACGGTGTGCACCCTGAACGACGTGCCTGAGCAGCAGCCGCGGCTGGACGGGTGCGGGTGAATGCTCTCTGTGAGCGCGCCGGGAGCTGGGCGCGGCGAGGGCTGCGAGTGATGCCTCAGAGCGAGCGTCGGAGAGCAGGCGTCGGCATGAGCATTGAGGGGCTTTCGGAGGTCCTCGCGGACTTGGAGGAGGAGGAAGAGGAGGAGGAGGAGGAATCGGTGGAGGAGGGGGAGGAGGAGGAGGAGGAGGAGGGAGGAGGAGGAGGAGGAGGAGGAGGAGGAGGAGGAGTCCGCGAGGTTCGTGCCTATGCCGATGTGAGCTTTTTCCCTCGAGCGAGCGGCCGCTGGCCCGACGGGCGCCCGGCCACCTTGGCGAGCGGCGCCCGGCGCGTGCGCCGCGCGGGCGGTGAACGAAAGCTAGGGCTACGTCGGGCTTGACCCTCTACAGGAGGAGTATTGTCGGGGGACCATTTTTTGAACATTTGTTGAATTTTGCTGGCTGTTTTTTTGGGGGGTATTTCTAATTTTGTGTCGTCCAAAGTCACCCTGTAGGGGGACATGCCCGACCTAAATCTATGGCCACCAGGTGGAGTCGGAGGACCGCGCCGCATCGCCGATACATCGGCGATGCGTCTCGATGCGGAGCCCAGACTTTTTCCACGCCAGCGGCGCCGATGCATCGCCGACGTCGCCGATGCATCGACGGTGCGGCGCGATCCTCTGGCCCCATCGACTCGGACCCTGCTTGAGGCCTCTACGAGGAGTAGTTGTTGACCTGGCAAGCTCTGAACGGGGCTGGTGCGCGAGCCGAATCGGCCCGCCCGCCCTGAGCAAAATCATCTGGGGCTCAGACATATGCGCCGTGTCTCCCCTTCCCCCCTTCCCCGTCCCTGGAAGGGCCGCCCCCCGGGGCGCATATCGGCGCCTGTCCTGTCCTGTCTTGTTCCGTCCCTGGAAGAAGGGGGAGGGGGAGGAGGGTAGAGATGGACGGTGGGAGGGAGGTTCGGTCCTGAACTTTTGGATGGCGTATCGCGCCGCCGGTTTCGGCACAACGTTCTGCGGCGAGGAACACTATCCACTTCCAGTCCCCAGGCGTCAACGTCTCGAGTTGTTCCCGACCTCACGCACGGCGGAGCGGATGGACACGCTATCCGCTTGCAGAGCATAGCGTGTCGCCTGGGCCGCCGCGGCGACACTCTAAGCAACAGTTCCTGACCCTAGAGATTGGGGATGGGAGGCAGGCACACCTTGTCATTTGCAATTTCTCCAGGGGGGCTGGCTTCGGGAAGGGCTGGTTTCCTTGCATGTCTATTCCTCTGCTCCAAGGGCCTTCGAAGACATGCTGGGATCATCAGAGCTATAAGTGACCAGTACAGTCGGGGCCCTGAAGAAGGAACCCTTTTCGTTGGGGAGGGGCTCCGTGTTCCTTAATTGTTTCGCAGCTTGCCTTAAATTTTCCTTAGGTTTTCGATACGAAATCGAAGTTCAACTTATGGAAAATAGGGGCCTCGTTCCTTATTTAGGGTTCTTTAGGTCAAAGCCTCGACTGCACTCGAGGGAGCCTTTTGGGCCTCCGAGGGTCTGGGTAGCTGTCGGGGGGCTGGGGTCTGTGGGAGGCCTTCATGGGGGATTATGGGGAGCCTCGGTGCCAACTTGTACGAGAAGGTTCGTCCAAATCGTCCAAGCATGCGCAGTTTTGAGCAGTCTTGGGCTTCGGGGGACTTGCGCGGCCGCGAGAGCGGCCGATCAAATTGTTGTCGCTTCGCGAATCCCCACCAGCCCATCCAGAAACGATGGCCAGAGGAATTGCCTCGATCAGAGAAGTGGGCAGCACACAGAGGAAGCCATTATGAGACATCTTGGGATATCTTGAGCCATCTTGGAGGTCATTTTGGGCTCTCCCAGACGCTCTTGGAGTCATCTTAATCCGTGCCCCCCCCCAAGAGGCCTCCATGTGGCTAAAACCTGTGTAGAATCAATGATTAGGCATTCTCGCCGAGGCCTCTTGGAGCATCTTGGGTGCATCTGGGGGGGCTCTTGGGGCCTCTTGGGGGTCTCTTGGGGGCCTCCGGGGGGCCTCTTGGGGGCCTCTTGGGGCCATTTTGGGGCCATCTTGGGACCTCTTGGGGCTTCCTGGGCGCTTCTTGGGGCCATCTTGGAGGAGATCGATCAAACAAGAGGGGGGGTTTAATTAGCGCCCCCCCTCGGAAGCCCCTAAAATCGCCTCTTGGACCCCTCTTGGAACGCTCTTGGAGTGCTCTTGGGCGCTCTTGGGGCCGTCTTGGGGCTCTTTTGGGGCTCTCTTGGGGCCCTCTTGGGCCATCTTGGAACCATCTCCAGGCCTCGGATGGCCATCGGAAGCGAAAAGGCGAGAAAGCAAAAATCATTGATTTTCCTTAGGTTTTGGGACGATTTTGGCCTCTTCGGGGCCTCCTTGGGGAGCTGTTTGGCCACTTGGAGTTATCTTGGGGCCGTCTTTGGGCTTCTTGGAACCATCTTAGGAGCCATCTCGAGCGATCTTGCGCTATCTTGAGCCATCTTGGAGCTCATCTTGGGTTCTCTGAGGCGCTCTTGGAGCCGTCTTGGGCCATCTGGGACGCTCTAACTACCAGCGGCCCCCCCCGTCCAGGTCCAGGGGAGGGGGTAGGGGGAGGGGTAAACCCCTCCCCAAGGGGGAAGAGGGAGGGGTGGAAGAGGATCTGCTCTAGACCACCTACGCCCAGAGGGCTGGTGGGATTATGAGAGATCGGGGTCCAGAGCTTCCAGAATACTGCAATCATCTTGTTACTCACAACTGCGCGAGCTTTGGGACGCTCCACTGCGTGCACAAGGCACGGTGGCGGGTTAGAATTGAGCTGACTTGTGGTGCATATGGTGGGCCCCTGGTAACAGGTCTGTCTCTTAGCCCTTCAGCCGCAGTCCCGTTGCACCAAAAATCCGTGCTGAAGTCACAGGCGCGGCCCTGGTGCACACCTGCGCGAACTTCAGTGTTCAAGTCCATGGCCGAAAAAATCACAATCCTCCTCCCCCTCCTGTCCCGTGCTCAGACCGATCGCCGACGAACATGGTATAATGGTCGTTGACCGCCGCAGCCGTGGCAGTTTCGCGGATCTCCTGTACCGTCTGCGCGAGGGCCACGATTCCGGGGACGAGGTTGGGCAGTCTATGCGCGACCAGGCAGCGCAGCATCGTGATCGCTGTGCTGGCCAGCGCCATGACCGCCCCCCTCCCCCTGCCGCCTGCCCTCTGCCGCTGCCTGCCGCCCACCGTGCGCACCCGATCGCCTGCCCGCTCCCGCGGCCACGCGCTCCCCCGCCCCCTGGATCCTGCGCGCCCCCCCGGGGCGGCTGCCGCCGACACCCGTCCTTCGCGCTGGTCGCTCTTGCCCATGTCCGCTCACGCGCAGGCTCACTCGTGCCCGCTCGCTCGTGCCCGGACTCGCGCATGCTCAGAGCCGCTCGCGCTCAGACAGGCTCGTGCTCCGGCGCACGCCTGCTGAGACCCGCTCACGCTCAGAGGCGCCCGTACTGCGTCGCTCGTATTCATACTTTGTGCCACGGGTACTCGCTCATACGCAGCCGTTCACACTGAGATTCGATGGCGCTCGATGATACTCAGACTCACTGATACTGAGACGCTCAAACATGAAGCGATAGAAACAGTATGTACGCATGGCGTTTCCCGTGTCGAGCAATTATCTGTCCTCCTCCGCATCTTGCTCCTCGCCCCCTCCTGTACATCCTCCTCCTCGGTATTATGTCTGGGTCTCCGATCTTGCCGCTTGCACCTGACTCCCCCACTCCTCGTCATCTTCGCCACCAGTCCTTCTCTCCCCTTTTCCCCCTCTCCCATCCGAGCTCCTTTCCCCGATTCAGACTCCCATTGCCGCTCTCCTCCCACCTGGTGCTCTTCTGACCGCATACTCCTCCTTCTCTTCAGCTGATGTCTTCTGGAGTCACGAGAACGACAGGCTTCTTTGCAAAGACGACGAGTGACAACGAGCGACGACGACGACGGACGACAACGAGAAGGAGCGACGACGACGACGCGTCGTGAGCAGGCTCCTCTGCGCCTTTCTCCATGCAGAGCTGGCTAAGGACGTGTCGACGAGGGGGGCGACCGACTCGGCCATCGGGGAGGAGTCGACTCCTTCCTTCCTCCTCCCTCCTCCTCCTCCTCCTCCTCCTCCCTCCTCCTCCTCCTTCTCCTCCTCCTCCCTCCCCCTCCTCCTCCCTTCTCCTCCTCCTCCTCCTCCTCCTTCTCTGCTTCAGCCTTCCTCCCCCTGTCCAGCCCTCCCAGGTTCCGCTCGGCTCAGCTCGCCCAGCTGAACCGCCGCCGCCCCGCCCGTTCTCGCTCTCCTTGGGCCCGGCATGCTCGTGCTCTTGGCCGCCCTTCTTCTCTTCTGGGTCCGTGTGCTCCTCCCCTCCCAGGTTCAGGAGATCGACTGCGTGAAGGAGATCATGAAGCTGCACGAGGAGTTCGTGCAGAAGCAGGTGTTCAGGCCAGTGGTGCAGTGCGAGTACAAGGAGCCTCGAGCCGAGACGGGGACGGTACAGGTACCAGGGGCACGTTGAGGACGAGAAGGGGGAGGGTGAGGCGGATGGTCTGCCTGCTGTCGTAGTAGCTCCAGTGTCAGCTGTGTGCTGTGGAGCTCGTCGAGGTGACGTCGTTGGGTGTGATCGAGAGTAGAATGCGCGCTGCGCTCGAACCGATTGCTGACGGACATCCATGTCTCGCGGCCGGCAAACCACATTTCCACTCTCCCCGATGGTTGGCCATCGTCCGCTGGCCAGTGAATCCCGCCGACTTTGCCATGCCCCACTCGCTCCCCAATACCAATACCTTGCCCACGTGCATGCCAAGAGGCCCTTGTTTCAGCTGCAGTTGGCACGTCGGAGCTTCTGGGAAGGGGTCTTCTGCAGAGTCTGCAATTCAACGTCCAGACCGTGCACATCTTGCAAGCCTTGCACGCCTCGCACGCCTTGCAAACGCATTTGCACGAACTGGATGAGAGCATTGCTGCTGCAGAACATTGGCACGCTCCCAGCACAAAGTCCACCTTTTGAGATGTTGACGACCTCCCGGCGAATCACCGCCGCCCGCTGCCCTTTCGGAAGCGCCTGGGTGGTTGACGGCGTGCCAAGCTCTGGCCAAGCTATGGCGATCATTTATTTCCGTCGCAGCACGACAGAGGCCATCCGCACGGGCGCTCGCAGTACAGTTGGGGCGCTGAAGAAGTAATCCTTTCCGTTGGGGAGGGGCTCGGTGTTCCTTGCTTGTTTTGCAGTTTGCCTTTGGGTTTCCTAGGGGTGTTCCATGTGAAATCGAAGTTTAACTTGTGGGGCAAAGGGGCCTCGTTCCTTATTTAGGGTTCCTTAGGTCAACGCCCCGACTGTAGTCGGAGACGCTCGACTAACGAATGGTTCAGATGTAAGATTGGGGGTGCGGGAGGGCAGGGCGACCGTGGAGAGAGCGGAGAGTGAGGGAGGGCACTCACAGCTGAAACAACTTCACGGCGAGCGCGCCGGCACGGCCAGCCAGGGCTGCGGTGCCAGGGCAGTGGACGCGGGGCGGCATCACGGCCACATCCAGGGACCTCAGCGAGGGCTGCAGGCGCTGAGAGCGTGGGGAGCACGGTGCTAGCAGTAGGCCAGCACAGAAGCCCCAGCAAGCTGCCAGGTACGAGTGGTACATCCGGTTGCTCGTCACGTTGACGGTGCTGATGATGCTGATGATGACGATGATGATGCCGACGACGATGATGATGATGCTGCTGATGATGACGATGATGATGATGATGATGATGATGATGATGATGATGATGATGATGATGATGCTGATGATGATGATGATGATGATGATGATGATGATGATGATGATGATGATGATGATGATGATGATTCTGATGATGCTGATGATAATGAGGATGATGATGCTGATGGTGGTGACGATGATGATGCTGTTCAGGAAGAGGAGGAGGAGGATAAGGAAAGGGGAGCATACGGCAGATGGGGGAGGCGGAGGACGATGAGGAGGGGGAGAGGGGATGAACATGGCGCACGAGGAGGAGGTATCTGAGGCATGACGATGACGGTGATGATGCTAATGCTGAGGACGAGTCTGACTGTTGTTGTTGTTGTTGTAAATCCTGTAGATATGACGGTGATGATGGAGATGCTGATGATGATGAGGAGGAGGAGGAGGACAGGGGAGAAGATGACAGATGGGGGAGGCGAGGCACGAGGAGGATGCGGAGAGGGTCTGAATATGGGGCAGGAGGAGGCATTTGAGACATGACGATGCTTGTGAAGATGCCAGTGCCGATGACAATCTAGTGTGACGGTTGATGTCGTTGTTGCGATTCGTGTTGTTGATGGTGTTGCTGATGAGTGTGATGACAAGGGGAACGAGGAGAACGATGAGGAAGAATATGATGAGGAAAAGGAGGAGGAGGAGAAGGAGGCGGAGGAGGATGAGGAAAGGAAGGAGGAACATGAGAAGAAGGGGGCGGGCGAGTCATCGTGACGCCCAGCGATGGAGGACGTCGAGGTGGCTGCGGTGACCGTGCAGGAGGAGCTCATTGAGGTTCCCCAGATCCAGACCGTGGAGATATTCAAGGAGGCGGTCGGTGAGCAGGAGGAGGGGGGAAGGGGGCGGAGGAGGAGGAGGAGAGGGAAGAGAAAACGGATGATGATGATGATGATGATGATGATGATGATGATGATGATGATGATGATGATGATGATGATGATGATGATGATGATGATGATGATGATGATGATTATGTTGTTTCAATGCTGATAGCAGTGATGCTGATTGTGATTCTGTCGATAACAAGGGCGACGATGGCGAGAACAATGGTGGTGGTGGTGGTGATGACGATGACGATGCCGATGACGATGCTGATGATGCTGATGGTGATGCTGATTATGATGCTGGTGATGATGATGATGCTGCTGATGGCGGTGATGATGTGATGATGATTCTATGGTTGTTGTGTGATGATTCTACATATGCTGATGATGATGTTGCTGGTGATGGTGTTGCTGATGATGATGGTGATCACGATGATGCGATGATGATGCTGATGCTGCTGCTGTTGATGACGATGCTGCTGTTGATGATGATGAGGATGATGCCGCTGATGATGATGATGATGATGATGATGATGATGATGATGATGATGATGATGATGGTGGTGAGGTTGCTGCTGTGGATGCTGATGCTGCTGATGAGGCTCGCGATGCTGACGATGCATCTCATGAGGATGATGATGACGATTATGATGATGATATTGGTGCTGCTGATGATAATCATGATTATTTCGACGGCTATGTTGATGAATATGGTGGTGATGATGATGAGGATGATGATGATGATGATGATGATGATGATGATGATGATGATGATGATGATGCTGATGATGATGATGATGTAGACGACCATGGTGATGATGGCGATGATGACGATGATGCTTGTGAGCATGACGATGAGGATGGCCATTTTGCTGATGATGCTCATGATGATGAAGAGGAGTAGGATGAGGGAGATGCGGATGATGATGCGGATGCTGAGCATGATTTAGGTGACGGTTATGCTGATGATGCTGATGCGGATGATGCTGATGCTGATGCTGCTGCTGCTGATGCTGATGCTGATGTTGATGCTGATGATACTGATGCTGACTCTGATGATGATGAAGGTGATGCTGATTGATGGGGAGGAGGAGGACGAGGAGGAGGAGGAAGACGATAGTGATGTCAATGAGGAGGGGAAGCATGATTAGGAGGAGGAGCACTAGAAACACGATGGGGAGTGAGGGCTACGTGGGGAAGGGTGGGGAGGAGGAGGAGGTGGTGGAACGGAAGGATGGTGATGATGATGAGGAGGAGGGGGAACTCGAGCGTGTGTGTGTGTGTGTGTGTCTGTGTGTGTATGGGTGTGTGTGTGTGTGTGTGTGTGCGCTCGGTTTTGGTGGCAGTGGTCGCAGCATGATTCGCGCTAGCTGT